TCATATTAGTGACAAATGGGGTCCCATGGAGGGCCTTAGGAATCATTTGGGGCGATTTGGAGGAAGAGATAGAAGACCCTGGGTAGTCTAGAGGTCTTATCCCCTTGACAGCCAAAAAAGTTCCCTTGTTTTCTCATTTATCTTATGTAAACAATGGGTTTGGTAAAACAGAAGTTTGAAAACTCCTAGTGATAAAATGTCATTTTAGCTTGCCATCACCAGGGGTGATAGTCAAAATAATTAGTGACCGATATGACACTATAACTGACCAATCAGAATGGACACTAGCCCTGGTGTGTACCAGATGTCCCCTTTGAGTTGCTGGATCAAAGAGAGATCTGGAGGATCAGGAAGAGAACCGGAGGATCTCTGGCTGAGGAATCAGATGACCAGGCAGTGAAGGGATGGGAAAAACACACAGGGAGTTCAGACTGCTATTTACCAACTGGAATGAAAATGTTTCAATTTTCACAAGCAATATGGCTACATCTTGGAGGTTACACAGTAAATCAGGGATATAGTTGAGACTCGTAACTTAGGTCTTAATTTCTTGGGGAAAAATATGCAACTCTTTGAGTATTTATTAGTAATTACATTACTGTCTTTAGTAATGATTTCAACATGTCAAAAAAAATTATCTTACTTGAACTCTTAGCTTCACTAACAACTTACCACACCTATGAAGAAGCAGGCATTGTGTCACTGCTTATGGGACACAAAGATATACTTATTTACTTTTATATTTATTTCTTTGCATGCATTCCAAAACAAGAGATGCTAAAGATACTTAGTTGTGTTTTATATATTCAAGAAATTTATTAGTGGCGTTAGATTGCTTTGTTAGATTAATATTCTTTTCTATTTTCATAAATTTTAGACTCACTGCACACACTTATTAAGATAATTTTCAGGCTGCAAGAAACCCATCCTCAGAGAATGCTTTTTGAGAAAACCATGCATCTGTTTATAATCTTCTAGGTTGTCAATGAGAATTTAAAAAAAAATTCTCACATGTCTGATCAGTTGCAATAATATTCTTTTGCTCTGCCTCTGGAATGATAAAGCATAATCACTGGCTTATGTAACATGGTACCTCGGTTGTAAATTTGTGAAAGGAGCTCCTCTAGTTGACAGTTCTAATGTCTGCCATCTGTTTGCATGGGATGAAGCCCTCATGCTCCCTTAATTGGCCATAAATTAGGTACCAGCAGCAAGCTTATGACAAGAGCCTTCAGTTACAGTTTTTTTTTTTTGTAAGCTGTGAATTCAACATTTGGTGGTAAGCCCGACTTTTCTCATAAAAATACAGAAATGTACCTCTTCAGCCCTAGACTCAAGCTGTCTTCTCTATATTTATGTTTAAATTTAGACCTCCCTCAAGGTATCCTCTCTGTATATATCCCTGAAGATTTTACACTGATTAGAGAAAAACCGCTAAATCCAAGGGATTCCTCTGCCTTCTCTAAGTAGAGGAAGGGCACATTTATTGAGTGCTTACTACACATCTTGTGCTGTACATGGACCTTGATATATATTACATTGTTTGACCTTCAAACCAATTGTATAATTTAGGTAATACTATCTCATTTTGCAGATAGGGAAACTGAGTCTTAGAATTTAAATAACGTGCCCATATTCTTATAACATGGTACGGTCAAAATTCAAGTATTGAGTTTTATTTGACAACATCTATGCACTGCCCACTGCATACTATACACAACTAGGTTTGAAGAAAGAGAAGGATGAGAATGAGGGCAAAGACATGTATGTGATGCTACCTGATGCTCCGTCCTTCAGGGTATCAATTAACTAAAGAACCTGCACTAGATGACTCACAACATCCTGTCCATATTGTTTCTCTGATTTGATTATTCTGGGCTTTACCATTTACCATGAAACCTTATCAAGTTATTAAACTTTAATGGGCTTCAGTTTCCTTTCTGTCAAACATCCTATCTTCCAGGTAAGATTTCATACACATGGAAATTCATAAATTACAAAGGACCGTAGGGATACAAACTGACCTGATTTCCCATCCATCCCCAATCAGCTGAGACCCTCAGTCCCACAGCCACTCCTTCCCTCACCAGATTCCCTGGCTTTATGCTTTAGAGACAAAATGAAGGCCAGTCAAGTTTCCATAACTTCTCTTATCTCTATCTCGACAAATTTTCTACCTCTTCTCATTTTTACTGTTTTCAGAAAAAAAAAAAAAGTTCTCCAGGTAACCTTTCCCTGCTTGCCCATAGTTTCCTTCCCTGTGGACCCACTTCCGTCAAGTACTCCCTTTGGTGTTTCATTTGCTCCATCTTCCTTGATGCTTGTATAGACCTATTACAAGGAAACTCCAAGACCTCACTGTTCCTTCATGTTCCCTCCCCTCCCTTTCATTTTTCCTTCAACCAAATTAAACCTTTAGTCTCAAAGCTCTCACTTCCTCTGCACTCACTCACTCTTTGTCATCTGTATTCCCTTCTCATCATTGTATTAAATTCTTTTGCTCCCTGGTCACTAAACCCACTGCCCTTTTCTCTCTCTATATGCCTCTCAGCTTCTCTCTTGCATTTAACGATGCTGCCTACCGTTTTACTTTTGAAATCTTCTCTTGCTTTCCGAGGTTTCCTACACTCTTTGCTAGCTCTGATTGCCAACATTGCAGTTTTTATTCACTGGTTTTCTTCTCCTGCCTCACTTTTAAATGTAAGAATTTTCCCAAATTCTAACCTTGGTCTTTTTATCTTCTCTGTTCTTTCAAACAATTCCATCCAGTCCTATGGCTTCAGCTGTTAACTCCATGTAAGCAATTTTTAAATTAATTTTAAGTTAACTCCAACAAGAGTTTTTGTCCCACATTTTCTATCTCCTGCAGGGCATCTGTTCTTGAGTGCCCTATTTGGATGTCAAATTCATTATATTTTTAGTGAAAAACCATTATGTCTCCCAAACTAATCCCTTTTCTATATTCCTTCTAGATTTTTTGAATCCTGACTACACGCTTAATTTCTCCCTTGCCCTTCACATCCAGTTGTGTGTTAAGCCCTCTGGTTTTACCTCCTCGTTCTTATTTGTTCATTCTATGAGTGGTCTCATGATCACCACTTGGATTTACAGACTACTAACCAGATATTCTGCTTCCAACCTCTCCCTCTAGTTTGTCTCACACAGCATTCTCCGTGTTACAGTGACACTACTTTGCTGCATAGAATTGTCAGCCACCCTTATGCCAACATTCAGTGTTCTTGGCGAACCAGCTCCAACATGTTTGTGAACTTGTCACAAGACGTCCTCCAACTACCTCTACGCAGCCTCACTTTAGCCAGTTGAAATGGCTCAGAGTTTTATTCTGAGTATCGCTTATGCTGTTCACTATTTATCTTGCCTTTCCTGTACCTCCAGATTCACCTCATAATACCCTTTCTTTCCTGAAGACTTCTCTGATTCT